ACAGGCAGGGAGATGGGTCTGGGTTAGGCTGGAAAATCAGTCAAGACTTAAAAAACCCCACCCAAGGTGTTGGTTGGAAAGGCTGTGGCATCCCTGGGAGTGTCCAAGGCCAGGTTGGACGGAGCTTGGAGCAACCTGGGCTAGTGGAAGGTGTCCCTGCCCATGGCAGTGAGTGGCACTGGATGAGCTTTAAGGTCCCTTGCAACCCAAACCATCCTGTAATTCTATAATAAGACGGAAAGAAAAATCATGGAGGCTTCATTTGAAGCCTTTAAGACAAGCTCTAGGCTGAGGTTTTGAAGGATGAATCCAGAATGAACTCCAAGTGGGCATCAGGGTGGAAAGTGTCCATGACAGTGACCTTATTTTCTTTGGAAAAGTTTGGATTCCACTGGTTGGGAAAGCACTAAATATTGTATCACAAGGGGAGTGCTCTGAGACTCTACAGGAAAATAAATTGCAAAATTACACTCTAGAAACACACGCTAAAAAAAGCACCATCCTTGGAAAATCTCAGCTGTTAACAATTTCTAATCAAATAATCAACTGTGCTAAACCTCTTTAATTCTACATTTTGATCCCTCTGCTGAAAATTTATTCTCAGTGCTTGACAAGACACACAGCAAAGTTTTTTATGAGCAAAGGGCACTGGGAAAATATATTCAAATGTGTGTCTTCCTGTAAAGCCTGGAGGTAAATATTATCTTTCAAAAACGTCTAGAGGCAAAAGGCTAAAAAGCAGTGAGGAATGTCAACGATTTCATGCATAAAATCATTCCCATAAAAAGCAAACAGTGGAAGAAGGGTTATATGGCTAAAGTATGTGAGACTCAATGGAAAAACCTGCTGCTGTGGTGTCTTGAAAATATCAAATGGACCCAAACTCCATTGAAACCCATAATGATCCTGCTCTGCTCCCCAGTTTGGCTTTCTTTGCAAAATAGCACCTCTATTTATGGTTTATTCCTTCCTCCAACAGGAGCTGGAGCCTCTGGCTCGACAGCTCATATCCTGATCCGGCCTCTGCCGCTGCTTCATGGGCTGTGAACACATCTCAGCTTCCCAAACTTTGACAAGACCCTTCCCATCAACAGAGGGGCCCTGAGAACATGTTTCCATTGACAAAGGATGCACTGAATGTCAACAGGAGTTCAAAATCCAGGGACAGCTACAAAAAAATAGCTCTGCAGTGGTGCAGCCCCATCTGACTGGGTGACTGAAATGAAGCATCCTGCATGTCCTGAGGAAGGGAATCTGCTGCAAGAAGTTGAGAAGGGATGAGGAAAAAAGGGACAAATCATCCTAATCAGTGTTTTGTGAGCTCAGGAGGAGCAGTTTCGTTGTCACATGAATGTGGGATTTACTTGAATCCCTCTCTTAAATCCACTTCTTCCCCTTGATGGCACCCAAAAGGCCCATTCTCACAAAAGGATGGAGGCCAAAGAATTCACAGAATCCCAGAACTATTTAGACTGGAAAAGCCCTCCCAGCCCATGGAGTCCCCCTGTGTCTGATCCCCCCTCTTATCCCCCAGCCCAGAGCACTGAGTGCCACGGCCAGGCCTTCCTGGGACACCTCCAGGGATGGGGACTCCAAACCTCCCTGGGCAGCCCCTGCCAAGGCCTGACCACCCTTTCCAGCAACAAATTCCTCCTCCTGGCCAACCTGAACCTCCCCTGGCACAGCTAGAGGTCAATCCTGACAATTAAAAATAAAAATGAGGCGATTCCAAATCGAAAACTGACCTTTCTAATAGAAAGCTTTGTAACAGCTGGGACATACAATTGGAAATTTCCATTAATAAATGTCTGAATTCTGCATCTGTCAGGCCATGGGAAGACAATGCACAGCTTTTTTTCATTGCCATCTAATTAATTCACTAATGGCTTTGTTTACAAACCAGGCTAGAGGCTGCAATAGATTTGATTGCACTTCGAAATCTGTGGCCAGATTTCTCTTAAAACCCAAATACAGCTGAAAAGTGTCGTAGTGTCCATTTAAAAAAGGTCTTGTATGGCCCCCATAAAATGTGGCTGAAACTTTATGTGTGTGGTTTTATGTGTGCCTTTACTCATCTCCATATTATAAAGGGGTTTTGCTTTTAGTGGCCACCATCAAGCCAAAAAGACTTTAGGGGGTCTCTGTAGAATATAAAAGCATGCATTAATGGCTTGGATTATAAAATAAGAAGAATCTTAGTAACTTTGCAACTATTAAAATCAAGCCAGAGAGGGCTGGGAGCATTTTTGAGAAAAGGAAAGGAATTTAGAGCAGTTTTTACAAATTGAAGCCTGGTCAGTGCCCAGCCACCCTCTGGGGGAAGAACCTTTTCCTAAGATCCAACCTGACCCTGCCCTGGCACAGCTCCAGCTGTTCCCTGGGTCCTGTCCCTGCTCAGGATGTAAAGCTCAAAAGTACATTTATTCCTTTAAAGAAAAGAGTTCTTCAGGTTCAGGTGATAATGGTTTTCAAATCCACACAGCCCAAGCTCACCAGCTGTATGTGTTTGTGTTTCCAGGTAGGTTACAGCAGAGAGACAACAAATATTAGGAGTAAAACTTCCTGGGAACCTCCTTCCCTAAAGACTTCAACAAGAAATTAGGGAAAACTGATCAGCAGTGGTCAGGAATGTCTGACTCTGCTGGATGATGGGATCTGCAGGTCCCTTGCAGCCCCAGGATGTGCCAAGCTGTGTGTCTTCCAGAGGACAAGGACCTGAATTTTACCTGTGCTCAGCCACCACCTACACAAACTGATTTCAAGGCAATAATGGCCCTAATCCCATATGTTCAGATACTCCCACATATTTATTTCAGAGCTGTCAAAAATAATCTTGATATAAAACCAAAAGAACTGACCTGGGGAAGACAATTGGAAGCGCAGGACTTAAATGAAAAGGAAATTAAGGAGCAAAGACAAGAGCAATAAAGTCCAGGAGAGAGATGATTTATGAGGGCTGGGGACACCTGACCCACATCCCTGTCCTTTGCAAAGCAGGACATGAACAGGAGGTGACACTCCCTATTCCCATGTGTTACTGAGGCACCTGGGGCCCAGCACAGCAGATGCTCAACTGACCCAAAGCAGAGAAGCTGAGCTGCAAAAAACAGTGGGTGCACCCCAAAAAGTCCACTCCTATTATTTTCAGGGCAGACTGTGGTCTCTCCAACCCTGGATGGTTTATGCCCTCAAGAGAAGCCTGGATAAAAGTTGATTACAAAGTCCAGTTAGGGATGAGGAAGAGCAACCACCAGTTGCCCTCTGGAGTGGTATGGGAGATGATCCTGGGGGATCTTGCCCACACTATAAAAATCCTCCTCCTTGCAATGTACTTTACTCACTTGATCAATTTTACTCTTGGAAAGCACAAAAATGTGAACGTTTTCCAGGAACATTCCTGCACTAACAGGCTCCTGTAACACACTCAGGCAATAAAAGAGTCAATTCCTCCACCGTGTTTTACATTTCGTTCCATTTTTAGCCTGAAATAATAAACCCATGTTTTTCATGGAGGAGGTGGAAGCAATTTTAGGCTCTGTTTTGACAAAAAGAATATTTTCTTGGTTTTACAACACTTCCCTCTGTGGTAAAGAAAAACAATAAAATCTGCAGCGTGGAGCTACACTTTTAAATATCTTTTATCCTTCTGTGTGCAATTCAGCATTAGCTAAAAATGAGCTGAACCAGTATTTTCCTGCTTAGGAGAGGGGCACCCACCCCTGAAAAAAACCCCTATGAGGTGACAGAAATGCTTTTGCCATCAGTAGGTTCAGGGCTTCTTGGAGGCTGCTGAGATGAAGGTGAAGGGACTTCAAAAGGGCACAACCCGGATTAAACTCCTGCTCTAAGGCATCCTCAGCAGATGACTACAGAAGGAGCAGGGAAAGGGAATGAGGGAGCTCTTGGGACTCTCTTCCAAAACAACAGTTGCTAACAGCAAACAAATAACAAAGGAAACCCCAAACCCCAGGAAGGGACCGACGCTCTCCCAGACAATCTCTCTCCTCCACATGACTTTATAGACATCCAGCCAGGAAAAGTCAGAAATAAATCCCAGGGGAGTTGTGCTCTGAACACAGAATTTACTGTTCACCTCACAAGCAACCACCAAAACACCTCATTTTGCCCGTTTTCCCACTCCCAGTGCTACGGGTGCATTTGGCTCCCACAGGGCTCCAGAGCGGGGCTTTCCCTGAAGTTTTGTGATGCCAACAGTAACTCTGCTCCTTTTCTGCCCCTAACTTGTAGGAGTTCCTGACATATTCTGCCAGTGTCAGAAGCTCCTCTGTGATGTAAAATAACTCCCTCTTTCTATTCTCAGTTTTTGTATTGATGGGATGTTACAAATGGGCCACACGACGGCTGCCCTTGGGTCTCCTCCCGCTCAGGCTTTGCCTCAGTAAAGAGCTCGAAATCCAACAGAGCAAAAAGCAAGCTCAGATTTTGTCTTTTCTCTACAATTCTGCAACAAGTGAGTAGCTTTGTGGGATGTTTTGCCACGGTGCAGGTACTGAAGGTACAGCTGTCAGGAGCACTATCTCTAGACCTGAATTAGAAACTGCTTAGGAGTGACATGGTACCTTACTCCGGTAAGATTTTAGGTTGCTTTTTTAATCCTAGTGCTCAACAGCCACACAGGTTGTTTTTAAAAGGCCGTAAATCAATGCCATGAACCACTTAGAGAGAAAATCACTGAATATTCTGAGCTGGAAGGGACCCACGAGGATCTTTGAGTCCAACTCTTAAGTGAGTGGCCCGTTCAGGGATCAAACCCACAACCTTGGTGTTATCAGCACCAGCCGAGTTAATCTCTCTCAACCCACCACACGAATTCTTCTTGTTACTGCAAAGCTTTCTTTGTACATTTTTACTTCTCGGGGCACATTAGAAAACACATCATCCCATCATATAATTTCCTCCCGGTTATTCAGGTGTAATCAAGAAAAAAGAGGGCTCATAACACAGGACTTATGCCAGGAATAAGAAGAAAGGTCACCTACCAGCTCCACTCGGCCGAAGCCTCCGACTCCCAGGGTGTCGATGATGTTGAAGTCGGCCAGTTTCAGGTTGGCAAAGAAGGCAGCTTCGGCTTCGTATCTGGAGTTTTTGAGGCGAAAAAACGGAAATTTCTTAGAGGTGCAGCCAGGGGCACCGTGTGCCACCACGCCCGCCCGGCGCCAGCGCGGGGGCGCAGCCTTTACCTGCCGCGTGGCCATCTGGGCTCTTAGGGTTTGCTTTTGCTCATGGGGTTTTGCTGGTCCCAGTTCCAGCCTCGCTCCGGTTTTCCAAGGGGGAAAAGCAAACCTCCCCTAGGCATGGCTACAAAGCAAACGCCTGGCACTGCAATTCAGCTCCAGCCACCTGCCGGGCATTTTCAAGTGATCTTCTCCTGCCTGGTTTGGTTGGTTTTTTGGGTTTTGGCTTGGTTTGGTTTTTTTTTTGGTGTCTTTGAGTATTTTTGGAAGATAAAAGTCTCTCATAGGAGTTTCTCTTATCCACAGGCCGGCAGTAGTTTCTATAAATGTTTATTGGAAGTGGCAAGATCATTAAGGTCCCTGGAGAGAAATCACAGCCAGGTTTTATGAAATCAGATCCAATAAGCTGTGGGCTGGTGTGCAAATGCCTGAAATGAATGACTTCAGTCACATATCAACATTCCTATGAGGATATCTTCCCTTCTTTTCCTCCTGTAAACTCACTCGGAGTAGCTGTCCCAACCCAGGTTCCAAAATCCAGATGCTCCCTGTCTTTAGCCCGTGTCCAACTGGCTCCCACAGGCGTCCACCAAGCCCCTGACCAGGGGTAGCATGCAAATCAAACACATGCAAGCCTGCCAAAATAAGCTTCCCATGACTACCCCCATGAACATGAGTCCTCCAAAATAGCTCCTTGTTAAGGTTTGTGCTATTTTTAGAAAAGGCTCGGAGGGGAAATGGATGAACAGGATCCACCCACTCAATAAAATGTGACATTCAGCTGCCGGAGAGTCCCCGCGAGCGTCCGACCTTTGGCCGGTGGCAGCACAGACTTGTATGGGAAAAGGGAGTTGGCTGGATTATGGAGGGAGGCATGGAGGGTGTAGAGGGGCAGCTGGGTGGTTTGCAGGACTTAGTTTGAGCAATTAACAGACTACAATCACCTGTTTCACCTGGAGGCTTCACTCGTGCAGGGTAACGGAGTGACAAACCATCCCAGTGGGAACCACGGACACACAAATCCACCCGTCCAGCTTTTGAACGTCCCCTGTCCGTCACGGCCTGTCTCTATTTCATTAGCAGCTTGGGATTGATTTCCTGACTGATCCCCTTCAAACCACCTTCCTTAGTCTATTTAAAACTCCAATGACACTGGGGGACAGAGAGCAAAGACCCATCATTTTTCCAGCGAAAAGGGGAAAAATAGGTGTCAAGAAATGCGAAAGGTCTCGCCATCGAGCCCCAGATCCGATGCAATAAAGCACAATTTTCTCTCGGGGAGGGGGGTGTGGTGCTGTCAACAAATTACTTCAGCTCTGCTTTATTATTTATACTGTCACCAGATCCCCTGGGTGACCTTGCTCCCGATGCATCTGACTTTGGAAACCAATGAGCGCAGAGCCTGCTCTGAACTTGGGATAACCTTGTTATTGATCGCTCTGTGCTCCTCACGAGCTGCATATTAAACCAGCCACCAGAACACCTCTGCTGAATCCACCACATGTTTAGACATCCCCTTCTAAATCACAGCAGACACATCGTTTTAGGGGTGACAGAGCAAAGAGACGGCTCTAATTTTCGGGATAAAAAATTAGAGTACTGGTACAGACCAGTTAAACACCCTTAATGATTTATAATTGTTATGAAGGTGAATTCCCAGCATGGAATATTTCCCTTCAACAGCCAAACTTCAGGTCAGGAGGCAAAAAATGGGTTGGCTTGGAAGGCACCTTAAAGACCATCTATTTCCAACCTTCCTGCCATGGGCAGGGACACCTTCCACCAGACCAGACTGTGCCAGCTGAGAGCTTCTGGATTTTCACTGGAACATGTAAAAAGAGGTGTTCAGGTGTTATTTTGCTTAGAAAATGTACTTGCAGCGTTCTTGTGATTGCTTTTGGAAATCTCTTGGCTAATTCTCTGCTCAGGTGGAGTTTGTACACACAGGTAGATGAAACAGATTGGATGCAGTTTTTCCAGAGGTGCCACAAGCATCCAAAACACAAAAGAAATGCCCAAAATATACAGTGAAACCAAAACAGGTGCAAAATCAAGCAAACAAGCCCTTCTCATGCCTAACAACAGCCCCAGCTGAATTCTGTTTTATTCCCACCTACAAGTGTCAAAGTCCACGTTAACACCAAATTCCTACAAACTTACAGTTGTTATGCACTTCAGTCCTGCAAAGCTTAAGGATAAATAACTCCAACAGAAGGATCAAAATGCAAATATTCCCCTGCCATCTCCTAAATCAGAAACTGGGGCGATGATCCTTATCCTGAAATTTAGAACAGGAATTCACCTCCTGTCCTCCAACTTGCTTAAGCTGAGTTTGCTGCTCCCTAAAACTCCCAGGGTTTTCCAGCGTGTGCTCCTCGCTCCACACATTTATAGGGACAAACATATGTGATGGCATATTTATCACCTCCAAAGTAAAGAGACTCTTTCAAGGCACTGGGAGGGCAGTGCCAAGAAATACAGAAATAGTTTAAATGTTAATATTGGCACGTCTGTAGGAAAACATTCAGTTCTGGACCAGGATAAAGATACTGAGGAGGATCCTTGGGATAGTCACAGAATGGGTCAGGCTGGAAGGGACCACAGTGGAGCATCTGGTCCCACCTCCCTGCTCCCATCCCAGAGCACGTGGCACAGGAGTGTGTCCAGACAGCTCTGGAATATCCCCAGTGTGAGAAAATCCACACCCTCTCTGGGCAACCTGTTCCAGTGCTCGGTCACTGCCCAGGAAAGAAGTTCCAACAGAGGTGGGATGAGTGGTAGAGACAGTTCAACTAGACTTGTGCAGGATGAGGTAGAAATAACTCGTCCTTCTGTGGGAATGTGCCAGGTCAGGGCATTTTTCTTCTGGGCACCACTTTGCAGACGCCACAGCTCGTCCCAGCCGGTACTTCCATCAGTTTGATTCTAAATCCGCAGCTTTGTGCTGGTGTTCCCAAACTTTCCAGAGGGGAAAATGCTTTCCTGACCTCTGGAAGAGTTGGTGATTTAGTTCCTAAATTAATAAATAAGAGGTGTGCTGGGAAGACACCTCGGGCAAGCCCAGGGCAGGATCAGCTTTCCTGGCATGGTCAGTGAGGTGCTGGAGAGACACAGAGGAAAGGCTGGAATGTCCTGGGCTGGGATTTCTGGGGTTGTGTGTCTCTGGGTGAATTAGGGATAATTAAGAGAGAACCCTTCTCTGGATATTTTGGTAATTGTGCTGGCTCACAGGCCAAAATGCCGGGAAAATCATAGCTGGAAGCGCACAAAAAGAAAACCAAGGGAAAAAAACAGGAAAACCAAGGAAAAGTTGGTTCTTTAATAAAGACCTTTTAAAAACAAAGGCTGTGATTCCCACAAGAGCTCGTGGGAGGCCAGGAATCAATTCCCAATGCACTCTTTAAGGTGTTTTTTGCTTACTGATACTGATATCACCTACCCTACAGCAAACAGAGGCTGGCAGAGCTGGAGCTGACAGCAGAGGTGGGACATCAGGAACCAGCACAGGGAAAGAGGGATTCAGATCTAAGTGAAACAGGAGCATCCTGCAGAACCCCTCAGGCTCTTCTCCAAGGTTTCCTGCAAATCTGAATGACAGAGGGACCTACTGAGGCCTCAGTGGCTTTCTGCAGCCACCTTGCCCTGAGGGGTATCCGTGTGCTCCCGTGGAAGAGCTGGGCCTTGGCAACATCACCTCTTTCCCTCCCTGCAAAGGAAACACATCCTCCTAAGGAGCTGCCTTGCTCCAGCTCCTCTTGGGCACGAAGAGGCATCACGTGGAAGAAACCTGAGTGATCAGGGGGCTCAGGAGTAAATACCATCACCCACATGTCCCATCCCTTTGGAATGGCAGCACAGGAGCCACGGCCCAAGTGTTTGGGCAATGCCTGCTATGCACAAGGGGAGAGGAAATCATGTGGCTTCTTGCACTGCTGGAGGTTCCCAACCATTTCAGTGAGCCATCACCTCCTAGCACAGTGATTACTCCGAGAGCTACCCCAAGCTTTTCCTCCCAGAACTACAAATAAAACAAAAAAAAATGATTAAACAACCATCTCACCTAGGCACTAAAAGGGATAAATGAGAACATGTGAGGAGCAAAGGTTTGCAATTATCCAACTGCTCAGCTTTACTAAACTAGCTCACGATTCCCATCACATGAGCCAACTGTGTTGGGAAACATTAGACATCTGTTAGCAAACTGTCATCCTGAGAGCAAACTTGGCTCCTTTCCACCTGCACGCTGCCAACCAGACAGAAATTGCCACCAAATGGGAACCAACCCCCAGCTCCCTGATAGGAACAGTTTGGGTGAATAAAACCTGAATTTCAGAGCCCTCCCCAGTGACAGACACCTGCTTGTTTAACAGCTCTTTGGTCAGCTTTATATCCATGGCTGAGGCCATGTCCTGCTGCAGAGGGAACCACTGGATCTCTGCAAAGACTGGAACAACTAGAACAATGTCACTTGGGTGGTGAGGATCAGACCCAGCCCGTGAGAAGACACACCTGAAAGGAGCCTGAGAGCCACAAACGGGGTGGGGGGAGAAATACATCCCCAAAACCCCCTTATTTCTGTGTCCACTAAAGAAAAGAGTCTATCTCCTTATGGTTCTTAAGATATAGCAAGATTCTTAAGGGATCATAGAAGCACAGAATCACAGACTGATTGGGGTTGGAAGGGACCTTAAAGAACATCCAGTGCCACCCCCTGCCATGGGCAGGGACACCTTCCACTGGCCCAGGTTGCTCCAAGCCCTGTCCAACCTGGCCTTGGACACTTCCAGGGATCCAGGGGCAACCACAACCAAATTCTATTGAAATGCTGCTTCAGCTGGTGTGGCACTTTAAAAAAACAAAAAAATCAGTCTGTATAAATGAAAGCAAAAACTCCCCCAGATC